CCTCCAAGCCGCCCGGCTCTCTGCAGGATCCCGGGAGGGGGCTGGCCCCCCCCCCCACCCCCCCCCCCCCCGCCGCCTGGGCCTGTGATGCAGCCAAGCTGTGGACACAGAGATTTTATTTTTATGAGCATCTCTTAATTGAAGCCTTGTGTCCTCCACCCTCCTTCCCCCGCCTTCCTGGCAAATGCCTTTGGATCTGACAAGAAATCCCCACAGGGAGCCTCTATTTCCAGCCCCTTTGTTTCCCACCACCCTGGGCCAAGTATGCATTTTTGGGCCTGCTGCTGCCCTTTGGCAAGGGCTGGAAAACAGTCAGTTGCTCTTGCTCTGGAGCAGTCAACAAGCCAGAAGCAAAGCACCGGGATGTTTTCATGCGGGGGAAACACAGGCCGGAGCTTTCTGGCTGCCTGTGGGGAGGGAAGTCCAAACCCCCCCTTCGCTCCAGGGCAGCGTTATGATCCGGCTTCTGTGGTGGGAGAGTGCGAGCCGCTCACACCTGCACACACAGGGCCAAGGTTGCCGCAGGGTCTCTATGGGGGTGGCTAAATGACTCTACCAAGGTCACCTGGGATATCAGTGGCAGGGCAGAGCCTGGGATCCAGCCACTGATGCCCCCAGCACCAAGTGGCTTCTCCTCTGCTTCCCAGCCCCTCTCTGACTTTGCCCGGCACAGGCAGTCGTGGGAGCCCCTCTGGGACCCCCCGCCCCTGGGAGGAGCTGACAAGAGGGGAGGGGAGAGCCTGGGAGGGCGCTGCGGGCACCAGGCTCAGCTGTTTCATGGGGAAGAGGGTGCATCATCCTCCCACTGTCCCCTGGGGCAAGTCCAAACACAAGCAAACACAGCTGGCATGCATGTGTGCGTGCGTGTATGGGGGGGTGCTCCACACCATCTCCTCCAGCCTGCACGCAACAGCCCACGGCGCTTTACACACACACACACAACGCGACACCAGCCCCTCCACCATCACATGCAGTAACTCCCGCCAGTGCAGCCCACACAGGGCCCCTCCATTTCCCACACGCTCACGATCACCTCTTCAGGCTCGGCCATCTGTGCACGTGCACACGCGCACACCCACAAACACCTTTCAACTCAACAGCACCTGGCAGGCTGCAAGGGGCATGCGCTCAAGGGCAAAAGTGTGTGCGCGAGAGTGTGTGCGTGCATGCGCGCGAGTGTGTATTTGCACACCGCCAACCCAGCTGTGCCACAGCCCCCTTGTATGGCAGCACGCTTATACATCCCCCCCAATATACTAGACTGGTAGCTATAACTCCCTTTCCAGGCCCACCCACACACACCCCTATATAGACGGGGAGCTGAATCTCCCCTTTCACACGGACACACACACATATACACTTACGAAAACACTCTTATGTGCACACCCCCCCCTTACAAACCCTTATGCACACGCACTCACGAACACAACTGCGCTGGCCCCGACCCCCACCCACCTGCGGGCCGGGTGCTGTGGGGCTGATACCGGGCGCACCTGGGCCGGAGGAGGAGCCAACAGGGGGTGGAGCTGGCCCCGGGCCTGCCCCTGCCCCGCAGGAGCCGGGGAAACTGAGGCATGGCGCCGCGGCAACAGGGGAAGCAGCGTCTGCTCAGAGACGCCCATTGTACAGAGAGGGGAAACTGAGGCCCGGGGGAGGCCGCGACTTGCTCATGTTTCCCCCCCAGCAAGGCGGTGGCAGAGGCGCTGTGTCTCCTCCCCGCCCCAGCAGAGAAGGAGCGAGCAGACGGGGGGGCAGAGGCTGGGTTAGCCCCTGCAGCCCCCCGCCACCCCGGGGCTCGGGGCAGCGCAGAGCTCCGCCCGCCCAGGGCTGGGGGGCAGCTCGCAGCCGCGGCCTGGGGACACCCCCCGAGTTGCTGGGTTCTTCCCCTTCC